GAGAGAGAGAGAGAGAGAGAGAGAGAGAGAGAGAGAGAGAGAGAGCGAGAACAAAACTAATTATTTTGTATATAAATTATAAATTGTAAATAAATAATAATGTTATTTTTTAATATTAACTTTTAAAATCATTGTACTATTTATTGGGGCGTCATTATTTACCAGTCACTTAAAATTAGTATAATTATTTCAAATTATCATATAAAATAATATATAACTTTACAAATAACCATTTGCGTATAAACTAAAATTTTCAAATTGAATTGCACTTAAAAAATTTATTTTAATTAATCCAAACTTTTAGATGGATTTCATGGATGCGGACGAGTCGGACGATCCTCACATCCAAGAGGAACAGCGAGAGTCGGGTTCCATAGATAGTCGCGTGTACTGGGAGTACGTGAAAGCCGGCGCCGGACCTCTATTGGCCATATTTGGTATACTGGCCACCCTATCGTCGCAAACCATATTTCACGGCTCAGACCTATTCCTAACGGCCTGGTATATCACCTCAACTATAATAATTGTTATAAATAATAATACATTATTTACATTGTGTATCACTATTAGGACTGACAAAAATCAAGCACGTGGTCACTCTACCGATTCGGCCGAACAGCGAATGGATGTTTATATTTATTCTGGATTAATAGGGCTGCTATTTGTGACCACGTTCATTCGGGCCATCACGTGGTTTGTGATGTGTATGCGGGCCTCAGTTAACCTTCACAACAATATATTCATACGTCTATTACGGGCCCCGATATTCTTCTTTGACAACAACCCCGTCGGTTAGTTTATTAAAGTGTATATAATATTTAATAATAAGCTAGCTCATTTATTTAATAATAAAAGTATAATCATAAAAAAACTATTTTCAGGTCGCATATTGAACCGATTTGGTAAAGATCTAGGTGTTATCGACGAATTTCTGCCAGCCACATCTTTCGACTTGAACATTGTAACAATTTTACTAACTAGATCAATTTACACAAAACACTGTTTCATTATTGTAATTAATAATTAATGTAATATTAGATAATTGGTCAGACAATCGGCATAATAGTGGTGTTGGGTTTAGTCAACCCATATCTGGTTATACCCGCGATATTCATATTCGCAATCGTTGGCTGCATTCGAGCCGTGTATATAAAGTCCGCCCGAGATATCAAACGTTTTGAGGCGTTGAGTAAGCGATTGATGTATTTATTTTAAATAAGCTAAACTATACTAACCATGGTCAACTAACTCCATAAACAGCCAGAAGCCCTGTGTACTCTCACGTGTCTACTACCATCAGTGGGTTGGCCAGTGTCAGGGCTTATGGGGTTCAGGAGTCGTTTGAGCGGCAATTTTACGTGTATCAAAACGACCACAGCGCCACCTGGTTTACTTTTGTCGGCACATCCAGGGGTCTCGGGCTGGCCATCGACTGGTTTTGTGTCGCTTATATTATAATTATATCGTTAGTGTTGATGATTTTTCCCGATGGTAAGTTTCGTATGTTAAAAGCATTATACAAAAGTGTTTTTTGATTGTAATTGATGTTAATTATTTATTATATTTATTAAAGTTTTTACTGTTGTTTTTTGGGTAATAATTATTAGGTATACCGGGAGGCAGTGCTGGATTAGCCCTGTCGTCGGGTATGTTACCAAATATTATTATTAATTATTAAATACCTTATTTATTTATAAATATTTTATTAATGAAATGAATTTTATATATAGCACTGATGTTGACGGGAGTGACCGCATGGGGTGTCCGGCAGTCGGCAGAAATGGAGAGTCAAATGACTTCAGTCGAGCGCATCATTGAGTACTCAAGACTACCACAAGAGGCGGCCCTCACAGCACATGACAGCCGTAAACCCCCTCCCGATTGGCCATCAAAAGGTCGAATTGAGTTAAATCATATGTACCTATTTTACGAGGGATCAGACAAACCGGTTCTCAAGAACTTGAATTTTATCATAAAAAGCGGTGAAAAGATAGGAATAGTCGGGCGGACGGGCGCCGGCAAGTCGTCCATCATATCAGCGCTGTTTCGTATGGTTGAGCCAAAGGGGGAAATAGTTATGGACGGCATTAACACGGGATCCATAGGTTTGCATGACTTGCGTTGTGTGCTGTCAATCATACCTCAAGACCCGGTGGTCTTCACGGGAAGTGTGA